AGTAGCTGAGATTACAGGTGCCCACCACCATACCTGGCTAATTTTTGTATTTTTTTTAGTAGAGACAGGGTTTCACCACGTTGGCCAGGCTGGTCTCAGACTTCTGACCTCAAATAATCCATCCTCCTCAACCTCCCAAAGTGCCGGGATTATAGGCGTGAGCCACTGTGCCCAGCCTATGCTCTTTTCTTTCTTTCTTTCTTTTTTTTTTTTGAGATGGAGTTTCGCTCTGTCACGCAGTCTCACTCTTTCATGCAGGCTAGAATGCAATGGCACGATCTTGGTTCACTGCAACCTCTGCTTCCTGGGTTCAAGCGATTCTCCTGCCTCAGCCTCCTGAGTAGCTGGGATTACAGGCTTGCACCACCATGCTCAGCTAATTTTTGTATTTTTAGTAGAGACAGGGTTTCACCACGTTGGCCAGGCTGGTCTCAAACTCCTGACCTCAGATGATCCGCCCACCTCGCCCTCGCAAAGTGCTGGGATTGCAGGCATGAGCCACCCGGCCTGGCCCTGTGCTATTTTCAAATTATATTTTTTATTTTTAGAAATTAACAATTACTTGTGGTATATGACCTAAACCACAATTATTATTTATAGGTAATAGATATCTTTATAATACTTCTAAATTTTGAGACGTTTCACTTGACTAAATCTGCATAGAGAGATGAATTACATACAGATATTAAGGGAAAATTCAGAGTTGGTAGGGCTTCTGTCATTATTTTTTCTCTGTTTTATAACCTATGATTAATCAAAAACTACTAACTGTAAGTTGCCTGCTGGGATTATTATGAGTATTTTTTCCTCAGATGCAGGCATACCAAATAGGTACTATTTTCTAGACTGCTTGTCTGTGAAACTGAACTCTGCACCTTCCATGTTGGAAAACATATGAGGATGGGTTATTTGCAAACTAATACCACTCAAGTTTTTTACTGTAACTCGTAATTTATGTTCTTTTATCCCTCTTGCTGTCTGCTTTGTCTAAATATTGTGTTAATTTTCTGTTAATACTTTGCGAAAGGAATTGAAAATGTAGTCTAGCTTAAGATTGTAATAGAAGGAAGATACCTACTGAAAGCTTGAACTAATTACACCTTTAGTTTTTATCTGCTTTCTTCAGATATACACCATCTCAGCAAGGAGTGGCATTCAACTCTGGAGCTAAACAGAGAGTTATTCGGATGGTAGAAATGCAGAAAGATCCAATGGAGCCTCCAAGGTTCAAGTAAGTAAAAAGAAATAGGCTACTAATACACACAATAACATGGATGAATCTCAAAACGATTATGCTGAGTGAAAGAAGCCAGACGAAAACAAGTACATACAGTATGATTCCATTTATATAAAACTCCAGGAAATGCAAACTAACCTGTAGTTACAGAAGGATCAGTGGTTGCCTCTGGGGAAGGAGGTAGGGACAGAGAAGAGATGAGAGGGACAAGAGGAATAGGCAAGGGGCAAGCAGAAACTTTTGGGGATGATAGACATGTTCACGATCTTGCTTGTGATGATGATTTCACAGGTGCATATTTGTGTCAAAATTTAATCAAATTATATACTTTAAATATGTATAGCTAATAAATGTCAATTATCTCAATAAACCTGCCTTTTTTTTTTTTTTTTTAGACAGAGTCTTACTCTGTCACCCAGGCTAGAGTGCAGTGGCGCCATGTCAGCTCACTGCAAGCTCCGCCTCCTGGGTTCATGCCATTCTCCTGCCTTGGCCTCCCGAGTAACTGGGACTACAGGCGCATGCCACCACGCCCAGCTAATTTTTTGTATTTTTAGTAGAGACAGGGTTTCACCGTGTTAGCCAGGATGGTCTCGATCTCCTGACCTCAGGCGATCTGCCCACCTCGGCCTCCCTAAGTGCTGTAATTACAGGTGTGAGCCACCGCACCCAGCCTCAAGCTGCTTTTTAAAATGGAAAAAAGGTATATTACTCTGCAAAATGACAGTAATGTTGTGGAGGTGGGGTGAGTAACAATTTCAAAGTTGGCCAAGTTTTATTCATTGTAGAAGTGGAGTGGTAAATGTATATCATTATACAATCTCTGTTTTTGTCTATGTTTGAAACTTTTATGCAAGAAAAAGGAGGGGAGACTTGGTATGATGACTAAAAGGAAGGAAACTATATCTCTGTGTGGTTGTGTTTTGATTTATACTTCAGGATTAATAAGAAAATTCCCCGGGGACCACCTTCTCCTCCTGCACCTGTCATGCATTCTCCTAGCCGAAAGGTATTCTTTGCTGTAGTCCAAAATCTTTTTTTCTACTTATGGTTATTAATTTTATAGATAACTTCCCTATGCCTGTACAGGTGCATGTCACCACATTGACTTGTTGTTTCTTTTTTTATTTTTCAAGATGAAGTTTCAAGAATGCTTATGAGAATGTATATAACATGTTAGCTATACGTTTTGTTATTAGTAACCCAAACCCTACTTTTAATGGAATGGACAGGGTCTGCTGTTTCAGTTAAAGGATGTTATTGGAAATGAATATATGGGTTTATTAGGTCCCTGATAATTTGAATGACTTTTTAAGATATATTTTGTTAATCAAAAGAACAATTTTTCATCCAAAAGAAGTCACATTGGCCAGGCATGGTGGCTCACGCCTGTAATCCCAGCACTTTGGGAGGCCGAGGCGGACGGATCACCTGAGGTCAGGAGCTCAAGACCAGCCTGACCAACATGGAGAAACCCAGTCTCTACTTAAAAAAAAAAAAAAGAGAAAAGTTAGCCGGGCGTGGTGGTGCATGCCTATAATCCCAGCTACTTGGGAGGCTGAGGCAGGAGAATCACTTGAACCCAGGAGGTGGAGGTTGTGGTGAGCTGAGATCGCACCATTTCACTCCAGCCTGGGCAACAAAAGCGAAACTCCGTCTCAATAAAATAAAAAAAAAAAGAAAAAAGTCGCATCGCTTTAAATATGGAAAAATACTAGCCAACATTTGTAACTGTCAAGAATAATTTCTAGATTATTTTCCGTTTTTCCCAGTAGTTCAAAGTTATTACTAGAATTATATGGTAAACTAGTGCTAGCAAACAAATGGACTGTTGGCCTTTTACTATATCTGTGCATATATCAGTGTATATGGAGCTATCTTTGAAGATAAAGATTATACTTAAGATTTACTTTGTAGACTATAAATCTAAACCTGTCTCTTCTTTCACTCTTCTCTCAGATGACTGTAAAGGAACAACAAGAGTGGAAGATTCCTCCTTGTATTTCTAACTGGAAAAATGCAAAGGTAATTAAGTTGTCAAATCAGTCTCTGTTAGTATTATAACCTACTGGAAAATACCAATAAAACAACTACAGCCTGCGTAACTGTAGTTGAAACAACACATGGCCTAACTGAGTATTTTCAAAAAGGAATGCCCAATTTGGTGACTTTTTAAATGTAATAGAAATGTTAGTATGCCAGGCACATGAATACCGTGTCAGTTCTTTTTTTTTTTTTTTTTTTTTTTTTGAGGTGGAGTCTCACTTTGTCACTAGGCTGGAGTACAGTGGCATGATCTCAGCTCACTGCAACCTCCGCCTCCCAGGTTGCAGCGATTGCCTTGCCCCAGCCTCCTGAGTAACTGGGACTACAGGCGCATGCCACCACGCCCGGCTAATTTTTTGTATTTTAGTAGAAATGGAGTTTCACCCTGTTGGCCAGATGGTCTTGATCTCCTGACCTTGTGATCCGCTGGCCTTGGCCAACCAAAGGACTGGGATTGCAGGTGTGAGCCACCGCATCTGGCCCCATATCAGTTCTTTTAGTGAATTGTAGCTAGCAGAAACACATAGAGAAGGAATAAGTATAATAAAGTGCCATATAAATACAAGATGGTATTTAGAAAACTCAAATTTATGTCTAAAAATTGTTTCCAAAAGAAAGTAAACTGGTGTAAAAGATTATATGACAAGAACAGAGTAAATGTTTGGATACTTTAAGTGCTTATATATTCAACTACTTGACTCTGTAGTAGTGAAGGCTTAAGCTATATGTCTCTAATAATCGCCAAAGTTTCTAGGAGTTGTTAAGAATCTGTTGATTGTGGGATAGATTCCCTAATTACTCTTTCCTCTTCCCTGAATCATAGTTCATGGTTTTACTTTTGATGGATAAAGAAGGCCATTTCAGGTTTCTTAAGAGAATTTATGTACTCACCCTAAACAAAGAGGTTGTTGACTGGTCTGATTCGAGTTCATGAATATTATGTAACTGGATGGTATCTTGAGCTGGTTCTGTAACGCTTCATTTTTATGAGACCATGGACTTAAAGGTCAACATTTGAGAGACTAGTCAGGTATCTGGAAAATAAAACTAAGCCTGAAAGTTACATAGATATTCAAGTATAGTTCTTGAGTTATTGAAATGGGATGCAAAGTTTTAGAATGTAGAATGTCAGTGGTTTAGCAAACGGTTTTTTTCTTTTTTCTTTTTCTTTTCTTTTCTTTTCTTTTTTTTTTTTTTGAGACAGAGTCTCGCTCTATTGCCCAGGCTGGAGTACAGTGGTATGATCATGGCTCACTGCAGCCTAAACCTCCCACGCTCAGGCATTCCTCCCACCTCAGCCTCCCAAGTAGTTGGGACCACAAGTGTGCCCCACCGTACCTGGCTACTTTTTTGTATTTTTGGTAGAGACAGGGTTTCACCATATTGCCAGGCTGGTCTTGAACTCCTAGGCTCAAGCAGTCTACCTGCCTTGGCCTCCCAAAGTGTTGGGATTACAGGCTTGAGCTACTGCACCCAGCCTTTTTTTTTCTATTTACTAAAACTTCAGGGTTTTAAGAATATAACAGATCATTAAGAGAGTACAGCAGATTTAACTTCCTATAGATGCTAAGATTATAGTGATTTATTCTGCCTTTGTTTGACTGTTACATTTATTTGAGAAGCAACTGTTGAACTGTTTGACACTGATTTCCTTTTATTAAAATCCACAATTATCAGCACAAGTATCTATTTTTCCAGAGGTTGGGTTCTGAAATCCTACTGTCTGAGTTTAAATCCTAGTCGTCCACTTATTTTAACGGTATGACCTTGGGGATGTTACCAAAGCATCAGTGAAATGGACACAATAATGTTAGAAGCTTTATAGAGTTATTATGAAGGTTAAATGAGACCATAGATGTGTTTGATCTTCTGCATAAAGCATTCATTGATAGCTGCTGTTATTTTGCGTCATTGTGAAGAAAGATATAAGGAAAAAGAACCCCAGTTAAGTTTAAGTGGGTCTTAAAATGTGGGCATATTTTAATTTAATTTTAGCCAGGCTTGATGGCTCGTGCCTGTAATCCCAGCACTTTGGGAGGCCAAGGGTGGATCACCTGAGGTCAGGAATTCAAAACCACCCTGGCCAACATGGTGAAACTCTGTCTCTACTAAAAATACAAAAACTAGCTGACTGTAGTGGCGCACGCCTATAGTCCCAGCTAGTTGGGAGGCTGAGGTAGGAGACTCACTTGAACCCAGGAGACAGAAGTTGCAGTGAGCCAAGATGGCACCCCTGCACTCCAGCCAGGGTGACAGAGCCAAGACTCCAGCTCGAAAAAAATTAAATTAATTTAACTTCAAATAATTAACTGAAGCACTTCTGTGACTGGGTTTTCTGTCTGCTTTCACCCTAGGGTTATACAATTCCATTAGACAAACGTCTGGCTGCTGATGGAAGAGGACTACAGACAGTACACATAAATG